AGCTACCAGCCTCAGTCCTCACATGGGGGTCCCTCAGCCCAGCCCAACCACTCAAAGGCAGCCACTCCCCCCAGACTCCCCCCTAGACCACACTGATCCACTGCTACAGGACTGGGGTGGGCAGTAAGGGACCCCTTGTTAGCTGTTCTTCCTCCTGGGAGGTCCTGGCTTGCTTGTCACCCACCAGTGCTCCTCTCCCAGAGAGCCGATCACACATGTGCTATTTCCTGGACCAGGGCTAGGGGCTGCTGGCTTGCTTGTGTCTAGTAGGGTCTTTGTCTCCAGGCTAGAGCCTCCACTCCTGTGCCACCTCCCAGCTGCTTCAGGGCTCCTCAGGGTGGAACACCCCCTGCTGGGTTGGGGAGGGCCCCTATAGTCACCAGCACCTGGTCCTTCCTAGACAAAGGACACCTTCTTTGAGGGTAAGGGCCTCTCCTCCTCCCTCATCCTCTGTACGGAACTCCAGGGGAAAGGCATTTGGGGATTTCCTCCCACACTGATTGTCCCTGGGGGACCCTCACCCACCATGACCTTCCCTGGGGGAGTCCCTTACCCAGCCCGACCTTCACTGGGGGGCTCCTCATCCACTCTGACCTACCCTGGGAGGGTGCCTTCACCCAGACCGACCTGCCCTGGGGGGTTCTTACCCACCCTGACCTTATCTGGGGAGATATCTTCACCCAGCCTGATCTTCCTTGGGGGGATCCTCACCCACCCTGTCATTGGGAGGTCCTTACCCTGATGTTGGCAGTGGCTCTAGACATCTAGAAGAACACTGGGGCTTCCAATGTGACAGTGACATCTGAAGGGACAGAGGCCACCTTTGAGTAGCTGGGGGAGGGGTGGAAGACAGATGGGCTGAGACAAAGGGTGGGGTGGGCCAAGGCACCAGACTTGGGCTAAAGTTTCCTATGGCCTGGAGCAGGCAGCCAAGAGAGGGCATCCATGTTGAGGGGCAGCAGAGGAAGACAAGGTGGGCTGAGGGACTAGAGAGCAGAGGCAGAATTCCTGGCACTCTAATGGGTTTCTCCATTTCATGCTTGACCACGTCATCTGGGGGACCCCTCCAAGCAGCCCCAGCAGGAGACACGTGTGCACTCACAGCCCAGTGCCCCACCCTGATGTACTCCCATCACAGATGCCAGGACAAGGTGGGGAGGGGCACCACCACTTCCACTGACCCTGTGCAAGCTAGAAGTCCCACCTCCTAAGCCGGTTCCCCTCACCAGAAATGGCTCTTAAAGACCATATGCTAACCCCCTCACGTTTCACACGGAAAGCTGAATTCTACAGAAGAAAAGACCAGTTGCATCACCTGCATCCCATCCCTCCCTGGGTCTCCCTGCTAGGAAGCCACACAGATCCTCTGGGGAGGGTTGCCTGGAAAC